GGACTCGATACCTGAGATAGAACTTTGTTTCTATTGCTAATGGAGCCACAGAGCATCCAGAAGAAACATCTCTTAGACAAAATGCTGTGAGAATCATAGGTTAAACTAAGGTTTCTAAATCAGGGTTCGTGAACTCTTAATAAGTCCATGGTTGGGTTCTAGGAAATTTGTGAACTACCTGAACTGAAACCAAAATTGTGCACCTTTGTTTTTTCCTGAGAACAGAGTTATTTTATCATATTTTCAAGGGGGAAGCCCTTAATCTCCAAATTCTAAGCACTGCTGGTTACACTATATTAAGGTTGAACTGAGAACTGAGATGAATTAAGTCCCCTTCTATTTTGATGCACAGGCCCACAAAGATGCTGCAGTCCTCCAAAACCCCTACCTCAAGAGACATTCACTCTGTACTTCAAACTCCAGGGGAACATTCAGAGGACTGTGAACTTGGCCATGCTTTGTCTAATTATTACACACAGGTTATAAGAAATGATTTCTGAATGCCAGAAAAAAAATTAATACCCAAAATATGTTCACTAGACTCAATTTCAAGACAGTATGGTCACAGGAGGTAGAATAGGTATGCCTAGGAGCCAGCAGATGGTGTGCTGGTTAAAAACGCTGGATTCTCCCACATGGCCAACCACAGTTCAAGTCCCGGACCTGGTGGCTTGCTTTCTCGCTTTCCCTTTCTCTCTTTCTGTCTGGTCCAATTAAAAATAATAATAGCAATAACAAGTTGAATTAAATAAATAGATAATTTTTTATTTAAAAAAAAAGGTATGCCTAGATAGAAAAAGCAAGATCCCCGTTTTTAAAAAGTTTTTAAATTTTATTCTATGAGTGAGAGAGAGATTGACACCATGATCCACCTTCAGCCTCAGCCAACCTGGATCACAGGTACGTGCATGCCCAGTGTACTCAGGAGAGTTTCTGGATACAAACCTAGCACTTGCATGCAAGTCAGCCTTGCGAAACATTAAATTGTACCACTGCACCATCTTCTGGCGCCATGATCCCAATCTTGAGGACCATGAAATGGAGAAAGGCACACCATCAGAGAACAGTACCCAGAACAACACAGAGGCCGCCAGATGCGGAGCGCATACCTGAATCTGATAGAGGAATTTTCTTAGCATTGTAAGCTGCTGCCTAGTGCAGAAAATTCTTCATAGTAAGGTCTAGAACAAGACTGGCTTCCCATGTAAACTGGTATACATCCACTTCTTCAACAAGGAAAACTATGTGACTGACCTCATCTGCATTTAGAATTTGGCCACCAGGAAGCACAGAGTCGTATTTCTGGCTCAATAATGACAACTATGTAAGTGCAAATGATCCCTTCACATTCTTCTTTTATTGTTTAGCCTTCTTCTTCTCCCCTTCCCTCTACTTGACCTTTAATTTATGTTTTGTGTGGTCTGGATTCTGTTTTTGAATTTATAGTTATACTTCATTGTGTATTTTAGATGCAATCCTTTTAAAATGTGAGTTGTGATCTGTGATACAGATGATGAATGGGAGCCGGAGTAGAAAGAACTAGGAGACAAGACCATAGTCTGCCATGCTGGGTATGTTCTGCTTCCCTCTAGAAACACTCTAGTCCCTTCCTACCCTGCTCCAAATTTGCCGGCCAGGCTGGCAGTTGACAGTGACTGTGTGCCTTCACAGAAGCCCGCAGCTCCTGTCCTGAAGCCTTCTACCCTGTAGCTAAAATTTTCTTCAGCTTTCTGTAACCATTCTGTCCTCTTGTCCCTATAGTACCAGAAGTGGTAATGGTTTCTTCTTTCTGTTCCTGTGGGCCCCAGGGTGTATCTCCAATCCTTAATGGCTTCTTTTTCTTTTCTTTTCTTTTCTTTTCTTTTCTTTTCTTTTCTTTTCTTTCCTTTTCTTTTCTTTTCTTTTCTTTTTTCCTTTTCTCTTCTTTTCTTTTCTTTTTTCTTTTCTTGGTTTGCTATAGGACACACACACTCACCAGAGAGAAACAGAGAAAGAGAGAGAAAGTGAGAACTCATGGCCCGGATGGGGATGGCCATACAGCAATCCCTTCTCCTCCAGTCTCTTCAGGATTTGGGGCACACATGCACGTGTGTCCAGCATGATTTTCAAGCAACTGGGTCTAGGACTCAACCACACAGTCAGCCACGTGAGATCCAACAGCTATACCTCCATGACCCCTGCTGGTCCTTTTTTTAAAAAAAAAAAAAAGTTTAACCATTTATTTCTTCCATGAGCAAAAGGGAAAGAAAGGTAGAGAATAGCACTCCCAACAGGGTCTTGACACTGCCATCACTCCCAGCCTCACCCAGTCCCAGGTTACAGGCATGTGAGTGCCCAGAGTAGGTACTCAAGGAGGTCTCTGGGCATGACCTGGAGTCTTCTCCTGTGGGTCAGCCTCCCAGAGCATCATGTTTCAGTGCTTCACCACCATCTGGTCCCATTCAGTGGTTTCTTTTAGCCATGCCCAGACCTGAGTAAGTACTGCTGTTAAGTCTCCTCAATAACTAAGTTTAAGTGTGAGCCGAGAATGTGACTGACAAGTCTACCAGAATGAGTAGGATTGTGGGGTTTTGTTGTTTTTGCTTTTGTTTTTTGGTCATTTCTACACACACACTGTGTTCTTGACATACTGCTTTGTGCGTATGTTTGTGAAAGCACCAGCTCTCTCTTAACTCTTAATTTTTACATGCGCGGCTCAACCCACCTGAAACTCCCTCTCCCCACTCATCCTCCTCGATTCCGTTACATGTGCTCACGGTCGTCAGGGAGGCCACTACTGATCCCACTGAATTTGAGCCCTTTGTTTCTGAGTCTGCTTCCTCCACTAAACTCTACCTTCTCAGAGGTAGTCTGTGTTTGATCATTTGTTGTGCTCCCAATACCCGGTATTTAATTCAAATATTGTTAAAGAGAAAAACGAATACATGAGTGAATAAAAAAGCTCCTGGCTTGGGGGCAGGTGGCGGTTCAACAGTAAAATGTGATGCTCCATAAGGCAGTCATACATGGAAATGTTCCCAGTTCAAGTCAGAGATCTCCCTGAGTATGCCTGGCTCACGTTTGTCCATGAACCTAGGCTGGCTGATACTGGGGGTAGACCTTCGCACTGGGACCCGTCAATAGTACAGTTTCTCTGTCCCTCTCTCCCTTTCTTCTTTCTCACTCATAGACAAAATAAATAAATAAGAAATGCTGGTCCTTTTTTTAAAAAAAAAAAAAAGTTTAACCATTTATTTCTTCCATGAGCAAAAGGGAAAGAAAGGTAGAGAATAGCACTCCCAACAGGGTCTTGACACTGCCATCACTCCCAGCCTCACCCAGTCCCAGGTTACAGGCATGTGAGTGCCCAGAGTAGGTACTCAAGGAGGTCTCTGGGCATGACCTGGAGTCTTCTCCTGTGGGTCAGCCTCCCAGAGCATCATGTTTCAGTGCTTCACCACCATCTGGTCCCATTCAGTGGTTTCTTTTAGCCATGCCCAGACCTGAGTAAGTACTGCTGTTAAGTCTCCTCAATAACTAAGTTTAAGTGTGAGCCGAGAATGTGACTGACAAGTCTACCAGAATGAGTAGGATTGTGGGGTTTTGTTGTTTTTGCTTTTGTTTTTTGGTCATTTCTACACACACACTGTGTTCTTGACATACTGCTTTGTGCGTATGTTTGTGAAAGCACCAGCTCTCTCTTAACTCTTAATTTTTACATGCGCGGCTCAACCCACCTGAAACTCCCTCTCCCCACTCATCCTCCTCGATTCCGTTACATGTGCTCACGGTCGTCAGGGAGGCCACTACTGATCCCACTGAATTTGAGCCCTTTGTTTCTGAGTCTGCTTCCTCCACTAAACTCTACCTTCTCAGAGGTAGTCTGTGTTTGATCATTTGTTGTGCTCCCAATACCCGGTATTTAATTCAAATATTGTTAAAGAGAAAAACGAATACATGAGTGAATAAAAAAGCTCCTGGCTTGGGGGCAGGTGGCGGTTCAACAGTAAAATGTGATGCTCCATAAGGCAGTCATACATGGAAATGTTCCCAGTTCAAGTCAGAGATCTCCCTGAGTATGCCTGGCTCACGTTTGTCCATGAACCTAGGCTGGCTGATACTGGGGGTAGACCTTCGCACTGGGACCCGTCAATAGTACAGTTTCTCTGTCCCTCTCTCCCTTTCTTCTTTCTCACTCATAGACAAAATAAATAAATAAGAAAAACAAAACAAACAAACAAACAAAAAACCCTAGTGTTTAAAGGAGCCGGATCCTTCATGGTCAACTATGGTTTGACTTGCAAAAACATGCTGGGTGCATGTGTGTGCAGTGCCCCAAATTTTAGAAGAATGGAAAAAATGGAGGAAAAAGGTCATGGTGTGACCACACCCCTCTGAGGAGGGGTGCTTTTTCTTCTCTTTCTCTCTCTCTGTCTCACTCTGGCAAGTGCACATTCTCACTGGTAATTTGAAAATGAAATCCATGGATTTTTCATGGTTCGGGGCTGTCCCCTGAGCAAAGAACCTGACACCAGGCTGTGTCCTAAGTTTCCTCCTCCAGAGCAGCCATTTTGTCTTCCCGATGGCTGCCTGAGCTGATCAGAACCTGCCTAGAGAAGACCATCAGGCAAGAATGGGCTGAGTCCATGAGGGAACCCTAGGGTGCCCTTGAGAAGAATCAATGGAAGATGAAAAAGAAAGGGAGGTAAGGACATTACATATACTCTAGTGAGACTCTCGGGCTTGGTGCCAAGATAATGGGAAGTCATTCAGGGTCAAAGAACAACATGGCACACCAACAGGGATCCAAGAGAAGGTGGGCTTGGAGATAAATGTAGAAGAAACGGGAGGGGAGATAAGTATCGTTTTTCTTAAAAAAAAAATTGTATTCATGGACTGATGTTGTAACGCTCTTGGGGAAGAAGTTGGTGTTTCGAGTGACCCTGGTACTGAAGAAGTGGTCTGTGTGACCCGTGGCACTTTCCCACCACTCCAACCCTGCCTACCTCTTCCCTCCTAGGATGAGGCATGCAGGCCTGGGTGAAGGCAACTCTGGCAACTACGGCTGTGCTAATAATGGTTACAGCTCCTGTGAAGAGGAAAACGAGAGATTCACTGCAAGTCTGCGGAACAAAGTAACTGCTATAAAATCTCTTTCCATTGAAATAGGCCAGGAAGCTAAACATCTAAATAAATTATTAGCTGAAATGGATTCCAAATTTGATTCCACAACTGGATTTTTTTTTTTAGAGGTTTTTGCTGTAGGGCACGTGTGCTCGCCAGAAAGACAGAGAGGGACAGAGTGACAGAAGCAAGAAATCACCTCCCGGAGAGATGGCCATGCCGCAATCCCTTCTCCTCCATTCTTCTCTTGGGATCTTGGGCACGCACACGCACGCACCCGGCATGAATCTAAGCCACCGGGTCCGGATCTTGAACTGTGGTCAACTACATGGGAATTCAGTGACATAGCCATTTCGCTAACTGCTGGTCCCTTTATTTTTATTTTTTAGAGGTTGTTTTTTTTGCTATTGGGCACATGCACTCTCCAAAAAGACAGAGAGAGACAGAGAGACAAAAACTCCACAGCTGGATTTTTAGGTGAAACTATGGGAAAACTGAAGATCTTGTCCAGAGGGAGCCAAACAAAGCTGTTGTGCTATATGATGCTGTTTTCATTGTTTGTCTTTTTTGTCACTTATTGGATTATTAAACTGAAGTGATATTTTTTTAAAAAATTTGTATTCATGTAGGCTTTTTAATTTTATATTTAACTATTATTTCAAGAGGATTTCCAATTATAAGTGGCACAGCCTTTTGTGTGTGTGTGTGTGTGTGTGTGTGTGTGTGTGTCTGTGTGTGTGCAATTATTACATTATAATTTAGAAAGAAGAAATAAAAAAGTTGAGCACCCATCCTCTTGATCTCCTTTTCCCACATAAGCTGGTAACCTGCAGAACCCAGGAATTTTAACCCCCATTGGCATTGCTGGTATTGGGTAACTGGCTTGCCAGAGAAGCCAGGGCTCATGCCCATCCTCTAAAGCAACTCTAAAATTCTTCTCTCCATGTGTAATGTTTGGACCATTCCTGAGCACCCTCACCCGGCCTGTATTACATCCTCAACACGTCCACAGATACTTTGAGAGTGATGGAGTTGAGCGAAAAAAATAAAGTCCAGAAGCAATTGAGCAGTAATAGTTCCAGTCCTACACAAGTGCTATTTTGGTATGTTGGCCTTGTACCTGACAAATGAATGAGAATTCTGAGTGGAAACATGGATGTCCATTAGTTTGAGAAATTAAGCAAGGGGTGGGCCCCCTTAAGGCTCTTTTGGAGCTTAGCTTCTTGTTCGCTTGACCTCATTCTCCCACAGGACTGTATGCCAGGGATCTGTCCATGTCCAAACCCAATGGCTTGTTCTTAAAATGCCCTTCAAGAAAATAAAAACCTAAGTATGATAGCACACACTGTGAGGTCAACAAAATATTCCATGTTTTGTGATGTACGTCCTCGTCACAGCAAAGTGGAGAGGTTGGCAAGGCAGATATTACTGTGTTCATTTTATAGATAGGAAACTAAGGCCCAGAACTTAAGTAAATTAGCCAAGATAATAATGGAACTGGTAAAATCAAAACTCATATCCAGGACCTAGTTTGGTCTGAGACCAGGGTTCTTTCATCTCACTAAATACATACATACATATGCATAATATTAAAATTTGGAAAATTTCCAGGACAGGATGATAATGTGATTCACTGTCCCACTCAAAGACCTCACAGAACAGTATTAAAAATGAACATTTTCATCTGACTTGGTAGGCCGGCCACACCCCACCCAGGGCTTTGGCCTTTACTTCTTTCTGCTCTGGCAATGACTGTCAACAGGCCTGCTGGTGCCAGGAACGACACAGGCAACCCTAGGCTTCCCCTGTATTGCCCAAAGCCATAAAAATATAGGAACAGAGCATGACAGCTCATCTTAGACACTCCAGTCTGACTCCTTTCCACTTTTGCCCAGTCCTCCTTGTCCCAGAAGGTCACTGGCCATATTTTGGCACCACCTCCCCCCTCCCCCCCATCAGATGGCTGACCAATGCAATGCCAAACTTCATATAATATTTGCCATCCACCGACTTTTCACACATGATGAGGTACATTCCTTTTCCCCAGATTACAGAAGAGAAAACGGAGACTCAGAGAGAGGAATGCTGATGGAGCCCACGGTCACTTAGCTAGGTCATGGCAGAGCTAGGATTCCAAGGCAACAAAGGCTGACCTTCTATTACTTCCACTTATCACGTAAGCACACTGGAGGCCCAGTGCAGTTTAATGGAGACCTCGAGTCACTGCAGAGGCGTGGCGAATGGCCTGGGAAAGGGGCCCAGCTTTCCTGGCTTCCAGACTGGGATTCCAGCCACAGGACCACGCCACTCCTCCTCAGTAAACAAGAAGTGGTCAGGGGATCTCACTAGAACAGGGAAGCCAAGTGTGGGGGTATTTTCCAGATGAGTATTAGGAGGAAAAAACAAAACACAAGAAGTTCAGGTTAATGTACAGATCTATGGCTCAAAATACCAAAAGGGAAAGTACAGTTATTCACAGTTAGCTTCAAAAGAAAACAAAGGAGGGAAAATTGAAACAAAAGCTATCTCATTGACAATCTGCCATTTCCTTTTTTCCAGTTGCTATTTTTTTTTTCCCCTCTTGGGAAACTGGCATCTGTCCCCTCACTAAGCACATAACATGTAGGGACAAGGGCTTGAATAGTTGGGTCTAATGAGGCATTAATGCAATGTGACCATGGAGCCAAGACATTCATAGCCCTCTGCAAGGATATCAAACCGCTCTGTCTGCAGCAGGCAAATGGTGCTCTACTTGCTTAAATGGAAGCTATTTATTGATACTTTGATTTCAACAAGGCCACGGGTTTTTAAACAGGTCCCCTTCCTGAAGTTTACTGCCTGGTTCCATTCTGTTTAACTAAAAATAATTAATTTTTCATGATATTATTTATAGCAAGCAAAAAAATGTTAAAAAGCAAGGTTTTTTTAATTCAAAAATAAGGTTATTAGCAAAAACCAGGTTAAAAAGACAGATGAGAGGTTTCCATAAAATAAACAAATAAATAAGTAAATAACCCAAGAAGAAGTAAAATCTACCTCTAGGCCAATTTTATATGTGTGTGTGTGTGTGTGTGTATACATATATATATATTTTTTTTTTAATTTGGAAAAAAGTACCTAACTTTTTTGAAGTTGCTGAATCAAGCAAGCATTCACAATGGAGCCCTGTGATAAAACAAATGATTGATCTCAGCTATCAAATGAACACAAATAATCCTCATATTTTCCTTCCTAATGGTTGTAGCTCAAATGGACACCCCTTCATGGGCACCTCTGAGTGATATCTGATATCACCTTTGGTGGTTGGTGTAGTAGTCAGGGTTTCTAATAACAGCCCACAAGTTTCCACATTCTAATTCCCAGAGTCTAGGGGTGTGATGAAGTATCACCTCATGTTATGGTATTAAATATATGGCACAGTTGACTTTCAAAAGGGAAAATTATCCGGGTAAGTCTAATCTAGTCATATGGGCCCATAAAAGCAGAGAACTTTCTCTAGCTAATGGTAGAAGAAAAAGATTAAAGAATTCTACCCAAATTAATCTACATTCTTAATGCAATCCAGTCAAAGTGTCAGATGCATTCTTCACAGATCTAGAAAAGACAATCATAAAATTTGTCTGGAATCATAAAAGACCTCGTATTGTCAAAGCAATCCTGCACAAGAAGAGTGGAGTGGGCAGCATCTCACTTCCAGACCCAAAAATATACTACAAAGCTTTGGTAATCAAAATAGCATGGTACTGGCACAGAAACAGACAGGAGGACCAATAGAACAGAATAGAGTCCCCAGAAATAAATTCCCAAACATAAAGTCAACTGATTTTTGACAAAGGGCACCAGTCAATCCAGTGGGAAAAGGAAAACCTCTTCAGCAAGTGGTGCTGGAAAAACTGAGTATTCATCTACAGAAAGATAAATCTGAACCCCTACCTCACACCATTGACAAAAATCAACTCAAGGTGGGTCAAAGATCTAAACCTAAGACCTGAAACTATAAAACTGCTCCTGGAAAACACTGGGGAAACTCTGGGAGACATTGGGGTAGGCAAAGACTTCTTAAATAAGACCCCCCAAAGCACAGTCAATAATTCCCAAAATAGACAAGTGGGATTACATCAGACTAAAAAGTTTTTGCATGGCAAAAGACACAGTAATTAGTGTGAATTGACAGCCTTCAGAATGGGAAAATATTTTTGTAAACTATGCATCAGATAGGGACTGATAACCAGAATACACAAAGAATTCAAAGCTGTCCTGAAAAAAGATGATCAACCCTATTAAAAGATGGGAGAATGAGTTGAAAAAAAACACTCTCTAAGGATGACATACAAATAGCCAAAAGGCATATGAAAAAATACTCAACATCCCTCATTGTAAGGAAAATGCAGATCAAAACAACAATGAAATACCACCTAACCCAGTCAGAATGATTAAGATTAAAAAATAAATAAATAAATGGTAAGTGCTAGCAGGGGTGTGGTGAAAGGGGAACTCTCTTACACTGCTAGTGGTAATGTAAATTCGTCCAGCCACTGCAGGGAGATCTACCATATGATCCAGCTATCCTACTCCTTGGTATTTACCCAAAGGAGAGAAGAATTCTTAATCAGAAAAGTGCTTGCATATCGATATTTATTTCAGCATTATTCACAATTGCTAAGACATGGATCCAACCTAAATGCCCACAAACAGATGGATGGATTTAAAAACTGTGGCACATATACTTTGTAGAATACTACTCAGCCAAAAAAAGAACAACAAGACCTTGGCTTTTGACAAAAAGTGGATGAATATGAAAGATTTACTGCTGAGTGAAGCAAGTCAGGCTATGAAGGAGAGACATTGTATGTTTCTACTTAATATATACCAAGTGTCCACATTCTATGACCGAAACTGAGTGACTAAAGAATATAGAAACATAGAAAATGGTTGTGAATACAAGATACAGTGTGGGAAGAGGGAGGGTGAAGGAATAGAGTCTGAGGAAGGACATTAAGGAGAAAAATAGAGAGGCATATCATTAATGGGACAAAGAAATGGGGATTATCTGTTGAAGATAACTTTATAGTATTATAAAATATTCAGTTAGCAAGTTAAATAATGAGATTGAATGTATAAAATAACTTGAAATAAAATAAAATAATTTTAAAAAAAGAAATCCACCAAGAAGAGCTTATACCATTATTGACTTGAAGATGAAGGTGACCCATGAGAAAGAAGGTGGCAGCCTTGACAAGCAGAGAACAGCCTGGGATAAAAACCAGCAAGGACACAGAAACTTCAGTCCTACCGCCACATGGAACTGAATTCTGCTAGCAACTTGAATGAGCTTAGAAGCAGATCCTCCTCCAGAACTTCCAGGTAGGAAGGAGCCCAGTCAACTGCCATTTTGATTTCATTCTTGTGAGACCTGCTTCAAATTCTCATCTACAGAACTGTGAGAGAATGAAGATGAGTATTTTTTCAAACTGCCCAGTCTGTGCTAATTTGTTACAGCAGCAATAGGAAACTTACACAGTTGGCAAAGATGAATCATGATATTGCAAGACAGAAACAAAGAGAAAGAAAAAAGTCAGGGCAAAACTGTGGAGAAGATAAA